TGTGTGTGACGGTGTCTGAACAGCGGTGTGTGTGACGGTGTGAACAGCGGTGTGTGTGACGGTGTCTGAACAGCAGTGTGTGTGACGGTGTCTGAACAGCGGTGTGTGTGTGACGGTGTCTGAACAGCGGTGTGTGTAATGGTGTGAACAGCGGTGTGTGGGACGGTGTCTGAACAGCGGTGTGTGTGTGACGGTGTCTGAACAGCGGTGTGTGTGACGGTGTCTGAACAGCGGTGTGTGTGACGGTGTGACGTTGTGAACAGCAGTGTGTGTGACGGTGTCTGAACAGCGGTGTGTGTGACGGTGTCTGAACAGCAGTGTGTGTGACGGTGTCTGAACAGCAGTGTGTGTGACGGTGTGAACAGCGGTGTGTGTGACGGTGTGAACAGCGGTGTGTGTGAAGGTGTCTGAACAGCGTTGTGTGTGACGGTGTGAACAGCGGTGTGTGTAATGGTGTCTGAACAGCAGTGTGTGTGACGGTGTGAACAGCGGTGTGTGTGACGGTGTCTGAACAGCGGTGTGTGTGACGGTGTGAACAGCGGTGTGTGTGACGGTGTGAACAGCAGTGTGTGTGTGACGGTGTGAACAGCGGTGTGTGTGACGGTGTGAACAGCGGTGTGTGTGACGGTGTGAACAGCAGTGTGTGTGACGGTGTCTGAACAGCTGTGTGTGTGTGACGGTGTCTGAACAGCAGTGTGTGTGACGGTGTCTGAACAGCAGTGTGTGTGACGGTGTCTGAACAGCGGTGTGTGTGACGGTGTGAACAGCGGTGTGTGTGACGGTGTGAACAGCGGTGTGTGTGACGGTGTCTGAACAGCGGTGTGTGTGACGGTGTGAACAGCGGTGTGTGTGACGGTGTGAACAGCGGTGTGTGTGTGACGGTGTCTGAACAGCAGTGTGTGTGAAGGTGTCTGAACAGCGGCGTGTGTGACGGTGTCTGAACAGCGGTGTGTGTGACGGTGTGAACAGCGGTTTGTGTGACGGTGTGAACAGCGGTGTGTGTGACGGTGTCTGAACAGCGGTGTGTGTGTGACGGTGTCTGAACAGCGGTGTGTGTGATGGTGTCTAGGGATGGCCCGATACCATTTTTTTTCAAACCGATACGAGTACGAGTATTTACATTTGTGTACTTGCCGATACCGAGTACCGATACCGATATTTCTACCGCAAAAGTAATAGGCTCCCAGAAAAGAAGACGACTATTTTAGAACACAGGTTAGAAGACTGTTTTTATTTTCTTCTCTGCTTGTTTTAACAAGTCTAAAAATAAATAAAAATTAGTAAAATAATAACTGTATTAACACACAAACCACTGTTAATTTAACATAAAAGCAAGCAGGCTACTGCGTTCATGGTCTGGCATGACTGAATGCGCGCAAAGTGCGCTCCCTTAATAAATCCTAAAAGCTGACAGTTCCTCGCGATCTCACACATCTCTGTTATTATCAATGAAGCTGACTGCACAATCAATATTTCATAATATCCACACTTTGTTTGTTATAATTAGAGGATTTGCCAGCATACAGAATTCAGCACTGAACAAAAAAAGTCCGTTTTGAGCGGTGAGGGGAGTCTATCTTAAATGCTTCTGATTGGCCATTGCGTTCCAGAAATCAACACATATGTCTGTGATTGGCTATATCGCTCAACGCTGTAACCATGTTATGAATAGAAACTCTGGCCTGTAAATCGTTTCTATTTTGTTGTAGTTGTTCTTGTTGCTTTTCTGCAAGAGATGAATAAAAATCTTTTAGTTTTTATGTTTTATTCATAGATATTTCTAGTTTGCGGGAGTCCCGCGAATCGTTTTATTCTCCCGTAAACCTCACACACAGAGTGAGTGCATTACCGCCCGCGCGCGCGCTCGGCCATCAGATGATGCGTCTTCAGATGTTTAATTAGATTGCTGGTGTTAAACGATGTACTTTCTTTCCCTCCTCTCGACACCTTAGCTGAACATAACTCACAGTCTGCCTTGCTGTTGTCATCACCCCTTATCTTGAAATGAGCCCAAACCGCCGACATTATACTTTCCTATGCCTCAGTTCACCTCGACAAAGCACTCGCGGCGGCCAGTTTCGTTTTGCAAAATGTACGTGGTATCGGTGCGTGGTATCGGCGAATTTTTATGAGTACGAGTACGAGTATATTAGGACAGTATCGGCCCGATCCCCGATTCCAGTATCGGTATCGGGCCATCCCTAATGGTGTCTGAACAGCGGTGTGTGTGACGGTCTGAACAGCGGTGTGTGTGACGGTGTGAACAGCGGTGTGTGTGACAGTGTGAACAGCAGTGTGTGTGACGGTGTGAACAGCAGTGTGTGTGACGGTGTGAACAGCGGTGTGTGTGACAGTGTGAACAGCAGTGTGTGTGACGGTGTGAACAGCAGTGTGTGTGACGGTGTGAACAGCGGTGTGTGTGACGGTGTGAACAGCGGTGTGTGTGACGGTGTGAACAGCGGTGTGTGTGACGGTGTGAACAGCGGTGTGTGTGACGGTGTGAACAGCGGTGTGAACAGCGGTGTGTGTGACGGTGTCTGAACAGCAGTGTGTGTGACGGTGTCTGAACAGCGGTGTGTGTGACGGTGTGAACAGCTGTGTGTGTGACGGTGTGAACAGCGGTGTGTGTGACGGTGTCTGAACAGCAGTGTGTGTGACGGTGTGAACAGCGGTGTGCGAGTAATGGTGTGAACAGCGGTGTGTGTGACGGTGTCTGAACAGCGGTGTGTGTGACGGTGTGACGGTGTGAACAGCAGTGTGTGTGACGGTGTCTGAACAGCAGTGTGTGTGACGGTGTCTGAACAGCAGTGTGTGTGACGGTGTCTGAACAGTGGTGTGTGTGACGGTGTGAACAGCGGTGTGTGTGACGGTGTGAACAGCGGTGTGTGTGACGGTGTCTGAACAGCAGTCTGTGTGACGGTGTGAACAGCGGTGTGTGTAATGGTGTGAACAGCGGTGTGTGGGACGGTGTCTGAACAGCGGTGTGTGTGACGGTGTCTGAACAGCGGTGTGTGTGACGGTGTGACGGTGTGAACAGCAGTGTGTGTGACGGTGTCTGAACAGCGGTGTGTGTGACGGTGTCTGAACAGCAGTGTGTGTGACGGTGTGAACAGCGGTGTGTGTGACGGTGTCTGAACAGCGGTGTGTGTGACGGTGTGAACAGCGGTGTGTGTAATGGTGTCTGAACAGCAGTGTGTGTGACGGTGTGAACAGCGGTGTGTGTGACGGTGTCTGAATAGCGGTGTGTGTGACGGTGTGAACAGCGGTGTGTGTGACGGTGTCTGAACAGCGGTGTGTGTGACGGTGTGAACAGCGGTGTGTGTGACGGTGTCTGAACAGCGGTGTGCGAGTAATGGTGTGAACAGCGGTGTGTGTGACGGTGTCTGAACAGCGGTGTGCGAGTAATGGTGTGAACAGCAGTGTGTGTGACGGTGTGAACAGCGGTGTGCGAGTAATGGTGTGAACAGCGGTGTGTGTGACGGTGTCTGAACAGCGGTGTGTGTGACGGTGTGACGGTGTGAACAGCAGTGTGTGTGACGGTGTCTGAACAGCAGTGTGTGTGACGGTGTCTGAACAGCAGTGTGTGTGACGGTGTCTGAACAGTGGTGTGTGTGACGGTGTGAACAGCGGTGTGTGTGACGGTGTGAACAGCGGTGTGTGTGACGGTGTCTGAACAGCAGTCTGTGTGACGGTGTGAACAGCGGTGTGTGTAATGGTGTGAACAGCGGTGTGTGGGACGGTGTCTGAACAGCGGTGTGTGTGACGGTGTCTGAACAGCGGTGTGTGTGACGGTGTGACGGTGTGAACAGCAGTGTGTGTGACGGTGTCTGAACAGCGGTGTGTGTGACGGTGTCTGAACAGCAGTGTGTGTGACGGTGTGAACAGCGGTGTGTGTGACGGTGTAAACAGCGGTGTGTGTGAAGGTGTCTGAACAGCGGTGTGTGTGACGGTGTGAACAGCGGTGTGTGTAATGGTGTCTGAACAGCAGTGTGTGTGACGGTGTGAACAGCGGTGTGTGTGACGGTGTCTGAATAGCGGTGTGTGTGACGGTGTGAACAGCGGTGTGTGTGACGGTGTGAACAGCAGTGTGTGTGTGACGGTGTGAACAGCGGTGTGTGTGACGGTGTGAACAGCGGTGTGTGTGACGGTGTGAACAGCAGTGTGTGTGACGGTGTCTGAACAGCAGTGTGTGTGACGGTGTCTGAACAGCGGTGTGTGTGACGGTGTGAACAGCGGTGTGTGTGACGGTGTGAACAGCGGTGTGTGTGACGGTGTGAACAGCGGTGTGTGTGACGGTGTCTGAACAGCGGTGTGTGTGACGGTGTGAACAGCGGTGTGTGTGACGGTGTGAACAGCGGTGTGTGTGTGACGGTGTCTGAACAGCAGTGTGTGTGAAGGTGTCTGAACAGCGGCGTGTGTGACGGTGTCTGAACAGCGGTGTGTGTGACGGTGTGAACAGCGGTTTGTGTGACGGTGTGAACAGCGGTGTGTGTGACGGTGTCTGAACAGCGGTGTGTGTGTGACGGTGTCTGAACAGCGGTGTGTGTGATGGTGTCTGAACAGCGGTGTGTGTGACGGTCTGAACAGCGGTGTGTGTGACGGTGTGAACAGCGGTGTGTGTGACGGTGTGAATAGCGGTGTGTGTGACGGTGTGAACAGCGGTGTGTGTGACGGTGTGAACAGCGGTGTGTGTGACGGTGTGAACAGCGGTGTGTGTGACGGTGTGAACAGCGGTGTGTGTGACGGTGTGAACAGCGACGGTGTGAACAGCGGTGTGTGTGACGGTGTCTGAACAGCGGTGTGTGTGACGGTGTGAACAGCGGTGTGTGTGACGGTGTGAACAGCGGTGTGTGTGACGGTGTGAACAGCGACGGTGTGAACAGCGGTGTGTGTGACGGTGTGAATAGCGGTGTGTGTGACGGTGTTCCTCTGTGTGTGTGTGTTTGACGGTGTTGTTCCTCTGTGTGTGTGTGACGGTGTTCCTCTGTGTGTGTGTTCAGAGGCTCTTCCTCACACCAGCGCTGCAGTGATCGTGGGTGGTGTGATCGGGGCCGTGATCGGCATCATCATCATCTCTGTGGTCACGTACCTCATCATCCGCCGGCAGGAGCCCACTCACGACTACGAAGGGTATGTGGCTTCCTCACACACTCACATGGGGTCGTAGGTCATGTGGGTTAACCGGTTAACCGTGTGTGTGCATGGAGCATGACGTCAGGACTGAGAGGTTTTGACACTAAACCAGATTCTAGTCAAACGGTGTGTGTCGGACCGGCGAGCCGCTCCTCGAGTTTAACCCGCATCAGGTGAACCTCACTAACCTCTCGACTCATATTTCACACACACACACACACACACACACACACACACACAAACACACACACACACACACACACACACGATGAGCTGCATAACAATAATGAACATCATATGAGGACTGTAAAAATGTTTGGTGAGTTAACATCAGTTAATGTAAAAAATCTACAGCATTGCGTAATCTTAATAAGGGCCATTTCTATGTTTACTAATACATTATTAAAATCGTTATTCTGTTGATATTACATAATGAACCTCAGCTAACATGAGCTAACAATAAACAGATGTAATTTTATTAACTAATGTTGACAAAGATGAATAAGTACCATAACAAAAGTATTACTCATTGTCATTTAAAGTCCCCCTGTGGTGTTAAATCCAGCTTTTAATGTTGTTTATGTGTCTATGTGGTGTTTTTAATACGCTTTAAGACACACCATGTGTAAGTTCATAAGTCGACAGCATTGCTGAGTATTTTCTGCTTAAAACTGCACAGTGAACCAAAGACAGTCTCAAAAACACGGTTTGAAATCGCTGGTGTTTCTGACGTCACAAACGACCTTGTAACCAATCAGATCAACGTGTGATCGTCAACCAGTGGATCTCTGAGCTGAGGGAGTGAGTGGAGGCGGGGCTCATTTGCATATTCATAGTACCGCGCATACTAAATGAGGCAAGGGTGTCGCGTTACATTCAAGATATTTTAAGGCGTGAAAAAAATTGTTATCAAGGAGAAAACGTTTAAATATGTAGTTTTAGTGAGTTTTAAGGGCTGAAATGATTGACTACAGGGGGACTTTAATGCATTAACTGATGTTAACTAATGGGACCGTACCGTAAAGAGTTATGTGACATTATTAAACACATTTTCCTTCAAATTCTCTTTAATGTGAAAAAAATGTAGTAGTATGTGATGCTGTTTTGAATTTATAATGATTTAAATAGGCTGATTTTATTATTGTAATAAGAATCTTCATTAGAGTCATTATGGAGATTTGTGTGGTTAAATGTGTTTATCGTGATCACTTTCACATCAATTAGACACGTTTACATGCACTCAATGATCGCCGGTTCCGTCGGACTGCAAAGCTTCATGTGAACATGATTCGGCTGGATCTCAGTTACATGAAGGAATATTTTCTCAATTTGATTAAAAAATAGTCGCATATTTGATTTACATCTTATGAACGCATACGTTTATTTATGTCTTTCAAACTGGTCAGTGGAGGGGACTGATTTTCACTAAAAGATCTTTTGACTTATACATCAGCCTTTATGTTTCAGATATGTCATCAAGACAAAAACAATTATTGCACGGCTCTCTGGAATACTTGCTTCTGATTGGTCCATTTATCGACTGTATTAAAATGAATCGGAGGACTTCAGCACTGTAATATGTTGCTGTGTTCATCTTCTCGCCAGGACGCCGTACACTATGGTGGATAATATGATAATAAAAAGGTAACGGTTTCATCTCAGATCAATGTATTTATGTGGTTAAAAGCGTGTAATAAGTGCTATTTGTTCAGTCGCCTCGACTAAAAGCCGCTTGCTTGCTACTGTTTTCTTCCGGAAGCTTTGTGTTTATACTGAGCTAATGAAACATTTCAACAGATATCAGTATTTGCTGTCCAATTGTTTACTAATGTGCACTGATGATGATGTACATCCCTCAGTTTGATTTCTTATTATCCCTTACTTTACTCTCAGTGACATCAGCGCTAGTTCGGAATAAATGAAATGCACGTGTAAACGAGTGCGAATCGGATTGCGACATTTTAGTGTGTAAACAGAACACTCTGAGTCTGAAGTCGGATTCACCGGGTTAGATGGACATGAGTGCATGTAAACATACATTATGAAGCAGCTTCACCGTAATAAACAGAAATAATGATGCAAACTTCATTAAATATGACAAAAATCATGATTTGTGTGTGAAATACGAGACGTCACGTGTCTGCGGTGTTGTGTGTGTGTCATTAACCCGTCTGCCGGTCATGCCTTCTGTGTGTGTGTGTGTGTGTGATCTGAGCAGCTGGTGTTGCGGCGTTTGTATCATATTGCTTGTCATCTGTCATCTCATTTGTGTCTGCGTCCATCTCTCTGTGTGTGTGTGTGTGTGTGTAGCTGCACCTCGTTAGAGAGTGTGAGCTCACAGAACACTCGGGTGGGGAAGAAGGCGGAGTCGAGTAACGACAACTCACGCTGCTCCAGCCCCTCCGCACCCGTACAGGTACGACCCACTCACTGTGAGTGTGTGTGTGTGTGAGAGAGTGAGTGAGAGAGTGAGAGAGTGAGAGAGTGAGAGAGTGAGTGAGTGAGTGAGTGAGTGAGTGAGTGAGTGAGTGAGTGAGTGAGTGAGTGAGTGTGAGTGTGAGTGAGTGAGTGAGTGAGTGTGTGAGTGAGTGAGTGAGTGAGTGAGTGAGTGAGAGAGTGTGTGAGTGTGAGTGAGTGAGTGAGTGTGTGAGTGAGTGAGTGAGTGAGTGAGAGAGTGAGTGAGAGAGTGAGAGAGTGAGAGAGTGAGAGAGTGAGAGAGTGAGTGAGTGAGTGAGTGAGTGTGTGAGTGAGTGAGTGAGTGAGTGAGTGAGTGAGTGTGAGTGTGTGAGTGAGTGAGTGAGTGTGTGAGTGTGAGTGAGTGAGTGAGTGTGTGAGTGAGTGAGTGAGTGAGTGTGTGAGTTAGTGAGTGAGTGAGTGTGTGAGTGAGTGAGTGAGTGTGTGTGTGTGTGTGTGTGAGTGAGTGAGTGAGTGAGTGAGTGTGTGAGTGAGTGAGTGAGTGAGTGAGTGTGTGAGTGAGTGAGTGTGTGTGTGTGTGTGAGTGAGTGAGTGAGTGAGTGAGTGAGTGAGTGAGTGAGTGAGTGAGTGAGTGAGTGAGTGAGTGAGTGTGTGAGTGAGTGAGTGTGTGAGTGAGTGAGTGTGTGAGTGAGTGAGTGAGTGAGTGTGTGAGTGAGTGTGTGTGTGTCATCAGTGCTGATCCTGTGTTTACATGCATAGCTTCCTCTCCTCATGCATCTCTGTGTGTGTGTGTGTGTGTGTGTGTGTGTGTGGCCTGAATGTTCAGCTGGACGGTGATTATATCGACTGATGTTTATTGGCCGATATTTGAAGTGTTTTAGCAGGACTTTTATTTTGACAGCACTGAGAACACATCCAAGCTCTCACTCATGTTGACAGTGCATTAACTAATATAAGTATTGCTTTTAATAATGCATTGGTAAATATTGAAATGATCATTAAATGTTTTAGAAGTATTTTACATTCATAGTTCATGTTAACTAATGTAACCGTATTGGGATGTTACAGCATTATTTTTATTAGCAGTTGTAATTCATTGTAGAGTGCAACAGTAATATATTATTTTATTGATTTGTTTAATGTTTGTTATACAAATATTTTGCACAAGAATAGTAAAATATATAATACACACAAAAAATATAATTATAGATTGTTTTTGTATTATTATTGTTGTTGCTGCAGTGTTTTCATAATAAATGAGAAACAGGTTTTGCTTTCTGAAATCCCGCATGACTAGCAGTGTATAGTGTGTATAATGATATTTCAGCGTGAGTAACTCGTGTGTGTGTGTGTGTGTGTGTGTGTGTGTGTGTGTGTATCAGGGGCCGGTGATCTACGCTCAGCTCGATCACTCCGGCAGCAAGAACGCCTCGATCCACAAGATGGAGCCGGTGGTGTACGCCGACATCAGGAAGAACTAGAGCTGGACTGATGATCCCTGACGAGACTCGCTCTTCTGTGTGTGTGTGTGTGTGTGTGTGTGTGAGAGAGAGTCTGTGTCTGTGTGTGTGTGTGTGTGTGTGTGTGTGAGAGAGTGTGTCTGTGTCTGTGTCTGTGTGTGTGTCTGTGTGTGTGACGGGTAGGTTTAGGGATCGGGTTTGTGTAGTGGAATAGAAAATACAGTTTGGACAGTATAAAAACCATTACGCCAATGGAGGTCCTCACAAGTATAGTTAAACGTGTGTGTGTGTGTGTGTGTGTGTGAGTTTCTACAGTAACGCAGCAGCGAGGCTGTAGATGCTGAATCTCACCACAAAACCAAACTAATCAGATTTTGCATTGAGAAAATGCAGTTCTGTGACATTCCTGCCCCGTCACACACACGTCTCCGAACTGTAGTACAGCTTTTGCTTTATATGTTACAAATTACTGTCATGCAATGCTTATTCAATGCATTTAAATCAACATAAACACTAACATAATGCATAAATATTGCATTTTGCATAATTATTCCTGAGAGGTTTGGGGGAAATGTGCTTATTTTACATTTGGCTATTCAATTAATTTTCATTTTATGTTTATGGTCAAGCTTTTTTTTTTTTTTTTTTTGCACATTTCACCTAAAAATCAATCAAACAAAGAAATGATCATTTTCATAGAGAAAATGGAGCCTTTCTTTAGGAACATAGATTTTTTTCATAATGTTAAAAATACTACAGTAAAAGTTTTATTTTTAAATGCCATGATGTATAAATACTTAAATGGCCGTTTAAGTAATATGTTTTGTAAAATTCTTATTGATTTTAATTTAATTTATTTTTTTCATTTTTTGCATGCATCCGTCACAATTCACCACAGACTCAAACAAACATCATATCATTTGTGTCGAGAAAACAGATTTTTTTGTGACCAGATTTTCATGACTGAATTACATTAAAAATATTAGTGTAGTAGTTTTATTTTTTTATAAGCTATGGTATATTATTTTTGCAGTTTGTTATGATTTTCAATAATGTTTCGCGAAGACTGACTAAGATGGTTTGGTTGTGTGGTGTGATTGACAGCTGCGTTTGCATGTGACGGACATCAGCGAGCATGATGGGTAACGGCTCCAGAAGCTGCGCATGTGTGACCGGTTCTAGAGTTAGACTAATGTTCTGGTGTAGAGAAGCCTTCAGTGTTAGTTTAGTGTGTGTAAAGCGTCTCAAACACTCCGCACTCATTCCACTTTTATGTCTTAACACTTTTAAACTCCTGACGTGTCGTAACTTAAGTCTTGTTTTATTTGTGAACGTTCTGACTCTTCTGAACGCTATCGAGTGTAACCAGAATCAGGGTCATTCCGTTAGCTCCTGATGCTGGACTCGTTTTTGTTGGATGTTTTTGCATAGATGATTATTTTTGTTATTGGAGATGAACATTCCTGCGCGGCTGACCTCAGACCTGCACTGTCTCTGTCTCGGACGGCACGATCATGTTAACTGGAACACTGGGGGAGAGTGCCTTCGCCAACTAACTCTTTCACACTTCCTGCTTTTATTGGCCTTTTGTATATGAAAACAGCTGTATCTGTTTAATTTTATACATGCATATATATATAAATATATCAAACTGAATGAAGACGTCTGATTTGTGTGTTTGTGTACATGCTAAAGTGCTAAAGCGATTACTTCGATGATCCGAGGACATTACACGCATCGAACTCAAAGCATTTCCATGGACGTATTGCATTTTGTACAAACTTGCCTGGAATGCGGATGATTTTGACAGCAATCTTTGATTTCAACATGACATCATCATGACTGGTCTTTGGACTGAAATGCCATTTAGTCATATTTTAGTGGTTTTTGTTTCAGTCGTCTAAATCTACATGTAAAAGCTGATGGGTTTAGAAACTCCTGGAGAAAACATCTATTAATAACCTCTGGTGCTTGTCTGGCATTTTTGACAGAAAATAAAAAATGAAATCTTCATCATATTACAGTTTTTTACAGTCGCTAGGACACATTTCTCAATACTTAGGTCACTTTTTCTTCACTCTTCACACAGTGAGCACAACAGAAGTGTATGTGGGCTAAACTGTGGATCATTTATCAGTGCTTTGGCACAAAATGCGTTCAATGACGACATCTTTCAAATTACATTAATTCTTTTCTCACTTCGACACAACAACCGCCAAAACTCTGTGTTCCTACAGGTCAATCTGCACATGCTTACACACTGTTTTCAAAACTGTTAAACTTAAGTTCAAAACAATAACATAATACAAAACTGAATATGACAGCATTTTGCCACATTTCTACAGTAATATTGTAATGAAATATATTTCGAATCTAATGGTGTAAAAACAATTGGACATTTGGACCAACCACAGCTGATTCCTATTGTGTCTGAATCAGTGGATGGTGTGTATACACATTTTGTACTTTGGAATTACTCCAAAAACATAAAACATATGTCGTATTGAAGCATAGTGCATCATGTCTAACTCATTCTAGTCACATATATTGCAGTGATTTCTAAACAGTAGAGAGGAAGAAGAAAGAAAGCATTTACAGAGGAAAACACTGTATAAAGTTTCCTGTTGTTAGTGTTTTTTAGCTCATTGTTTTGTGGGTGACAGAGTGTGTGTGTGTCGGCTGTCAACCTTTGCTAGTGTTCTGAGTTGAGTTGATCTGAGACATGTACGAAGTGATTCTGTAGTTTTAGTGCATGTTGAATGTGAAATGAACTGCTGTGCCGAGCTGAACGCTGCTTAGGAGAACTGTGTGAAGAGTTTTGAAAAACTGACCTAAGTATTGAGAAATGTGTCCTAGCGACTGTAAAAAACAGTAAACAAATAACATTATTGATCTAAAATGTAGTCATTGAAATATTTTTTGTTTAATTTCTGTAATTTCCTCTGGCCCGGAGCATCCCCGGCGGGTCAGCCTGCTGAGATGAGTGACACACACACACACACACACACACACACACACACACACACACACACACACACACACACACACACACACACACACACACACACAGAGTTTCCTGCTGTGATATATACAACATGTCTATTTATCTCACAATTAAATAAAACCATGTCTCATAAAACAACAAGAACATTGTCTTCTTTTTATTTAATGATGCATTCTTTATAACAACTTGCATAAAACATTCTTCATTCTTTCAAGCAGACTTGTGTATTTGTATAAAGGAAATATAGATGAATGCTTATTAAAGTTATTCAGTCAAAAACAGTTTGATGGGGTTTATTAGGCCGCTGTCACTTTAAGAGCGAGTGATCCAATACACGGATACACATCCTATATTCTTCTTCATATTTATTTTTCTTTATGCATTTTTTAGCGTTTTATGAGACGTCGCATCTCTTCCCAAATCCCCCCTTAACGTCTTCCTCTCGTTTATATTCGTTGATGAATATTTCAATAGATTCCCGTCATAGTTTTTGTCATTCAAAACTGGTTTTTATTTAGGTTTCATAGAGAACAAAATATAGTTGGCTCAAATTATGATGAAAATTTTTCCTCGACGAAATTAACACTGCTAAACTGTCTTCATTTCAATGCTGTCAACCATAAATATACGACATTATATTCATATTACAACTTGAGAGTGTCCATTTTCCGACTAGGAACTCGTATACAGCAGTTTTGGAAGCACGTGATGGCGGCATCGCTTCAGTGTTAGCAGTGTTGTGTTTACATCAGGTAACGTTTATGCATCATTATAATCTCATCCTGTAAACCTGAAGAAATCATTCGAGTGTCAGTCGGAGGGGAAAACTCTTCTGAATTTCGTCTGAATGTGGATACCGACGGAAATGTTCCTCACATCAGATAATGTCCGTGTGTTGAAAGACCCTTCAGATGTTCAGGTTAATCGTGTTCCACGTCACACGGAAGATTCGCCAGAGCTTCGGGAGAAACGCGAGACTCGGATATGACGGATGATGAACGAACAATGCTATCTAGAGTTGCTCTGAGCGCCAGATTTAACACATTACAGCTGCTCGAATTTCCTTCTGAAGAATGATGGTAATCTGAGGCGCTTTGAAGACAGTGTAACTCGCTTTCCTTTAAAGAGGACTCAGAATGTCACTGTGTCATCTGTGTTTCTCTGGAAGAGCATCACGGGTCTGGTGCTCTGTTTACCTCAACATTAAGCAGGAACTGCAAAAAAAAGTATAAATAACCAAACAAAATGTCATCCCCTTTTAGCTCAAGCTAGCGAAATCTTATGTTCACGATTTTGTGATTTCAGTTTATTTTATTTAATGTAATGATTTTCTTTTACGGTTCTAGTTTATTCAGTTTCAGTCTGCCTTCGCAAGTTTCAGAAAAAAAACATTTATGAAACTTTCATGATTTACTGTAAACATGGAAGATTGTGTGTCTGTTTCCATAAAACTATGCATTAAGAGTAACGCAACAGTTCCTTATCATTTTGAGCAGTTGTATCAGTTGTAGTTAGATCATTGTAAGGAAATGAATAGACACTCATTTGAAATGTAATGTGTGAATTGCCTTCTGAAATAGAAGTGCTGTGATGTTAAGTTGTGTCATATTGAACAGGTGATTTTTGTTGAATGAACAAATGATCTAAGTTTTATGTGTATTGTATCCAAGCAATTGAGAAAAGGGTTCGAGTTTTGGAAAATGTGCATTTTGATCATTGGTTGTGAGTTTTGTCTAGACTCTAGAGTTGTGAAAATTGACATCAAGGTTCTGAAAATAGTAACAAAGTGATGGTAAAAAACGGTATATTCTGATTCTCTGGACACTTCAATCACGGGTCTGTTTGACTGTCATCATAATGTGTCTAAGAGATTACGGCTTGAGAGATCAGTGTCCTCGCAGAACTCGTGAAGAAAATTTGTAAAAATGATTTGTTAAAAAATCCGACTTGTACCACCTGACCACTGTTGTTGCTTGTGTTGCCATAGAAACGCGTAATTCCGAGTCCGAGAACATATCCGAGTTGGCGTACTTGCGACAACATTTCATTTTTCAATAGGCCTAATTTTTTTATTTAGATTGTTTTTAACTTGTTAAAATTTTACATTTGTATAATTAAATAGACCTATTAGCTTCCATGACGTCATGAACCCTGAATTACAGGACCACCATTCACACACTGACGAAATATTAAACCTTTTCAACTAAAACACAATAAAGCATCTGCATTTATTGATCTCAGATTACGTGTTTATGTGATGATAGATGATGTCATCATTTTCACATCAGCTTTGCTTTATGTAAAGTATGGATTTCCAAAACTGCCAAAATAATAAATAAATAGCTACATAAATAAACATATGAATAAATGTAATAAATAAACATAAATATACAAAGAAATGTAAAAACAAAGAAATTAGTATTTATACTTTTATTTCCTTAGGCTATTATATATGTATTTTATTTTAAGGAAAATCATTTATTAGTCATTTATTTTTTACACTTCTTTGTATATGTATTTATTTATTATCCCTCTACTGCATGCATTTTGATGGCACATGATAAAAATGATTCCACATAATTTCTTGGCTCATTTGGGAACATTTTATTGATTTATTGAAAATTTTCCCTCCCCTGACCCTGAAAAGTACCCCTCATCACACAACGTTGCCCTGAGGCAACAAAAAGAAAAACTGAATTTGTGAACATGCAAAATAAAAGAAAACTTCATTAAACCTGCCAGAAGGCTTCTCCACACCTTCATACATTACACACACATATTTTTTATGTACAGTTCATGTCATTTTAAATAAGATTACTAAAGCAAATAATCTTGCTTTCAACTCACACCATGTGCTCTGTGACCATGTGTCAGAAAGGCCGTCCACCTTCAAATGGTGCTTGATGGCGACTCCAAACCGGACTGGACTGTTCTTTGATACTTTTTCAAACATTCTAATTGGTTGCTGTCATTTAAAGAAAAATGTACTGAACATAGCGCTTAAGAAAACTTCCCGTTGCCTGAGGGAACGCTGCGCTGTAGAGGCTTTGGCAGCTTTGGAAATCCATAGTAAAGACAGTAAAACTTTACATTTAGTTTAAACTTTATTTAAACGCATATAACATTACAAACACAAAGCATTTAAAAACATTCACAGTATAAATTGATTCAGATTCACATTGGGATTTCCAGCAGTGAGCGATACAGAGTTCATAACCAGATAATATTGTGAATACACAAACACTAGATGGAATCAGATTACAGTTCATAACTCGCATGACAATGTGCATTCCAGAGTTAGCATGTTTGTCAGTGGAGAGATCATGTCAGAACCTCTGAAGATGCATCTAGTTGGACTAGATGCCTGTTTTAGTTGATGAGGGGTGTGTGTGTGTTTCAGTTTTAGTTGATGAGGAGTGTGTGTGTGTGTCAGTGGGTCCGACTCGCTGTAAGACGCTCACACACCCATGGTAACTCAGGCATCGGGTCAGTGGCTTCTCCTCGGTCAGTTTTCCACTCGCTGGGTCGAACGCCCAGATCTGATCAACGGCAGAAGAAGACTCACTCCGACCCCCGACAACATACACCTTCCCTTCACACGCTGTCAGGCCACAGCCCTCCTGAAATACACACACACACACACACACGGGTCAAGAACACGTCTCAATGGCGCCGCTGTGCCTCGGGCGACCCGAGTACGAGTCCTGGCTCGTGGACCTTTACCCATCACTAAAATCTAAAAGCCATCTAAATCTAAAAATAGATTTGTGTGTGTGAGAGTGATGACGTGTGTGTGTGTGTGTGTGTGTGTGTGTGTGTGTGTGTGTGTGTGTGTGTGTGTGAGAGTGATGACGTGTGTGTGTGTGTGTGTGTGTGTGTGTGTGTGTGTGTGTGTGTGTGTGTGTGTGTGTGAGAGTGATGACGTGTGTGTGTGTGTGTGTGTGTGTGTGTGTGTGAGAGTGATGACGTGTGTGTGTGTGTGTGTGTGTGTGTGTGTGTGTGAGAGAGAGTGATGACGTGTGTGTGTGTGTGTGTGTGTGTGTGTGTGTGTGTGTGTGTGTGTGTGTGAGAGTGATGACGTGTGTGTGTGTGTGTGTGTGTGTGTGTGTGTGTGTGTGTGAGAGAGTGATGACGTGTGTGTGTGTGTGTGTGAGAGTGATGACGTGTGTGTGTGTGTGTGTGTGTGTGTGTGTGTGTGTGTGAGAGTGATGACGTGTGTGTGTGTGTGTGTGTGTGTGTGTGTGTGTGTGTGTGTGTGTGAGAGAGTGATGACGTGTGTGTGTGTGTGTGTGTGTGTGTGTGTGTGTGTGTGAGAGTGATGACGTGTGTGTGTGTGTGTGTGTGTGTGTGTGTGTGTGTGTGTGTGAGAGTGATGACGTGTGTGTGTGTGTGTGTGTGTGTGTGTGTGTGTGTGTGTGTGTGTGTGTGTGTGTGTGTGTGTGTGTGTGTGTGTGAGAGAGTGATGACGTGTGTGTGTGTGTGTGTGTGTGTGTGCTTCTCTCACCACTCTGACGGGCAGCACCGCAGCAGAACTCCAGCTGTCTGTACTGGGCGAGTAACAGAAGATCTGGTCCAGCAAGCCTCCGCTGACGTAGATGCAGCCGTTGAGTGTGACGGCGCTGATGGAGCGGTGAGAGAACGGGCAGTTCGACACAAACGCCCATCGGTCCGTCAGCGGGTCATAACACTGCACCTGTGACAGGAATCAATACTTCATTCATGGGCTTTAAAAGACACAAATGAACAAAATTCAGGAATATTATTGATTCGGCTGCACTGAGAACAAAACTTGATCTGAATAATGACAGTATTGAGCAGCTTATATCTGAATGGAACTTTACAGTTATTGAACTAAACTGAATTAATAAGAAATCAACAGGAATAATAAACAATATTTAACATCTTAACAATGTTTAATCTTAATGTCGTAATGAAAAGTGCAGATCTTCCATGTTGTGACGTTTATCCAAGTTTAACGGATTATCAAAAAAGAAAACCAATGTGGGGCGGGGCTTGGTTCTGTGCGTCAGTTGTTGATTGGCTGTTGAGATGTGGGTGTGGCTCTCAACATGCAGTGTATGCAGATGAGCGTGAGGTTCATGGGTGGAGCTTGACACTGGGTCCTGGTTTGGGTTAGTGTTGCCGTGTTTGCTCACGTGTTGGCGTGTTAACTAGTCTTACCTGGTTAGTGTTGCCATGTTAACTAGTCTCACCTGCTTAGTGTTGGCGTGTTCGCTCACGTGTTGGCGTGTTAACTAGTCTTACCTGGTTAGTGTTGGCGTGTTTGCTCACGTGTTGGCGTGTTTGCTCATGTGTTGGCGTGTTAACTAGTCTCACCTGGTTAGTGTTGGCGTGTTCGCTCATGTTTTGCCGTGTTAACTAGTCTCACCTGGTTAGTGTTGGCGTGTTCGTTCATGTGTTGGCGTGTTAACTAGTCTCACCTGGTTAGTGTTGGCGTGTTCGCTCATGTTTTGCCGTGTTAACTAGTCTCACCTGGTTAGTGTTGGCGTGTTCGCTCATGTTTTGCCATGTTAACTAGTCTCACCTGGTTAGTGTTGGCGTGTTCGCTCATGTTTTGCCGTGTTAACTAGTCTCACCTGGTTAGTGTTGGCGTGTTCGCTCATGTTTTGCCATGTTAACTACTCTCACCTGGTTAGTGTTGGCGTGTTCGCTCATGTTTTGCCGTGTTAACTAGTCTCACCTGGTTAGTGTTGGTGTGTTCGTTCATGTGTTGGCGTGTTAACTAGTCTCACCTGGTTAGTGTTGGTGTGTTCGTTCATGTGTTGGCGTGTTAACTAGTCTCACCTGGTTAGTGTTGGCGTGTTCGTTCATGTTTTGCCGTGTTAACTAGTCTCACCTGGTTAGTGTTGGTGTGTTCGTTCATGTGTTGGCGTGTTAACTAGTCTCACCTGGTTAGTGTTGGTGTGTTCGTTCATGTGTTGGCGTGTTAACTAGTCTCACCTGGTTAGTGTTGGCGTGTTCGCTCATGTTTTGCCGTGTTAACTAGTCTCACCTGGTTAGTGTTGGCGTGTTCGCTCATGTTTTGCCATGTTAACTAGTCTCACCTGGTTAGTGTTGGTGTGTTCGTTCATGTGTTGGCGTGTTAACTAGTCTCACCTGGTTAGAGTTGGCGTGTTCGTTCATGTGTTGGCGTGTTAACTAGTCTCACCTGGTTAGTGTTGGCGTGTTCGCTCATGTTTTGGCGTGTTAACTAGTCTCACCTGGTTAGTGTTGGCGTGTTCGCTCATGTTTTGCCGTGTTAACTAGTCTCACCTGGTTAGTGTTGGTGTGTTCGTTCATGTGTTGGCGTGTTAACTAGTCTCACCTGGTTAGTGTTGGCGTGTTCGCTCATGTTTTGCCGTGTTAACTAGTCTCACCTGGTTAGTGTTGGTGTGTTCGTTCATGTGTTGGCGTGTTAACTAGTCTCACCTGGTTAGTGTTGGCGTGTTCGTTCATGTTTTGCCGTGTTAACTAGTCTCACCTGGTTAGTGTTGGTGTGTTCGTTCATGTGTTGGCGTGTTAACTAGTCTCACCTGGTTAGTGTTGGTGTGTTCGTTCATGTGTTGGCGTGTTAACTAGTCTCACCTGGTTAGTGTTGGCGTGTTCGCTCATGTTTTGCCGTGTTAACTAGTCTCACCTGGTTAGTGTTGGCGTGTTCGCTCATGTTTTGCCATGTTAACTAGTCTCACCTGGTTAGTGTTGGTGTGTTCGTTCATGTGTTGGCGTGTTAACTAGTCTCACCTGGTTAGTGTTGGCGTGTTCGCTCATGTTTTGCCATGTTAACTAGTCTCACCTGGTTAGTGTTGGCGTGTTCGCTCATGTTTTGCCATGTTAACTAGTCTCACCTGGTTAGTGTTGGCGTGTTCGCTCATGTTTTGCCGTGTTAACTAGTCTCACCTGGTTAGTGTTGGCGTGTTCGCTCATGTTTTGCCGTGTTAACTAGTCTCACCTGGTTAGTGTTGGCGTGTTCGCTCATGTTTTGCCATGTTAACTAGTCTCACCTGGTTAGTGTTGGCGTGTTCGCTCATGTTTTGCCGTGTTAACTAGTCTCACCTGGTTAGTGTTGGCGTGTTCGCTCATGTTTTGCCATGTTAACTAGTCTCACCTGGTTAGTGTTGGCGTGTTCGCTCATGTTTTGCCGTGTTAACTAGTCTCACCTGGTTAGTGTTGGCGTGTTCGTTCATGTGTTGGCGTGTTAACTAGTCTCACCTGGTTAGTGTTGGCGTGTTCGCTCATGTTTTGCCATGTTAACTAGTCTCACCTGGTTAGTGTTGGCGTGTTCGCTCATGTTTTGCCGTGTTAACTAGTCTCACCTGGTTAGTGTTGGCGTGTTCGTTCATGTGTTGGCGTGTTAACTAGTCTCACCTGGTTAGTGTTGGCGTGTTCGCTCATGTTTTGCCATGTTAACTAGTCTCACCTGGTTAGTGTTGGCGTGTTCGCTCATGTTTTGCCGTGTTAACTAGTCTCACCTGGTTAGTGTTGGTGTGTTCGTTCATGTGTTGGCGTGTTAACTAGTCTCACCTGGTTAGTGTTGGTGTGTTCGTTCATGTGTTGGCGTGTTAACTAGTCTCACCTGGTTAGTGTTGGCGTGTTCGTTCATGTTTTGCCGTGTTAACTAGTCTCACCTGGTTAGTGTTGGTGTGTTCGTTCATGTGTTGGCGTGTTAACTAGTCTCACCTGGTTAGTGTTGGTGTGTTCGTTCATGTGTTGGCGTGTTAACTAGTCTCACCTGGTTAGTGTTGGCGTGTTCGTTCATGTGTTGGCGTGTTAACTAGTCTCACCTGGTTAGTGTTGGCGTGTTCGCTCATGTTTTGCCGTGTTAACTAGTCTCACCTGGTTAGTGTTGGCGTGTTCGCTCATGTTTTGCCGTGTTAACTAGTCTCACCTGGTTAGTGTTGGCGTGTTCGCTCATGTTTTGCCGTGTTAACTAGTCTCACCTGGTTAGTGTTGGCGTGTTCGCTCATGTTTTGCCGTGTTAACTAGTCTCACCTGCTTAGTGTTGGCGTGTTCGCTCATGTTTTGCCGTGTTAACTAGTCTCACCTGGTTAGTGTTGGCGTGTTCGCTCATGTTTTGCCGTGTTAACTAGTCTCACCTGGTTAGTGTTGGCGTGTTCGCTCATGTTTTGCCGTGTTAACTAGTCTCACCTGGTTAGTGTTGGCGTGTTCGCTCATGTTTTGCCGTGTTAACTAGTCTCACCTGGTTAGTGTTGGCGTGTTCGCTCATGTTTTGCCGTGTTAACTAGTCTCACCTGGTTAGTGTTGGCGTGTTCGCTCATGTTTTGCCGTGTTAACTAGTCTCACCTGGTTAGTGTTGGCGTGTTCGCTCATGTTTTGCCGTGTTAACTAGTCTCACCTGGTTAGAGTTGCCGTGTTTGCTCACGTGGTAACGTGTTAACTAGTCTTACCTGGTTAGTGTTGGCGTGTTCGCTCACGGCTCCTCCGATGGCGTAGAGTTTCCCGGCGCAGCTGCTCAGAGCGGCAGAACTCACGGGCATCAGCAGGTCAGAGACGCTCGTCCAGGTGTTCTCATGCGGACTGTAACACTCCACGCTGGACAGACGCTCGCGACCGTTATAACCGCCGGCCACATACAGCTGCACACACACACACACACACACAGCACATGAACCACAGAACACCTGCTGCTGCTGTTGGGCAGTGAACGAGTCAAATGAGTCAGTTCGTTCGTTCTTGTGTTTGATGCTGAAACGAGCCTCACCTTCCCACACATGGACACCATCTTATGCCTCCATCTGCCTTTGTTCAGCCCGCGGACTCGGACCCACTGGTTGAGCTGCGTCATGTAGCGCCACACGTCTGCGCTGTTCAGCTGCCCGCCTGCACACACACGTCACACACAACACACACCTGTCAGCACAAGCCCTTAGACATGCAATACGATCCTGAAGATTTAATGTCAATATTTTAACAACAAGTTTGCATGTTCACGGTTCTTCTGTACGTCACATGCAAATTAGATCAAATGTTGAATCTTTTGTTTTTAGTAAATGTTTAGTGATTATTGTCATTTTTTAATTTTATTTATAGGACTGCACAACTTGGGCGAAAATTTATATTGCAATCATTTTGTCATTTATGGCAATACAACATTTAGTAACTAAATGTTGTATCGCCATAAATGACAAAATGATTGCAATATAAATGTTCAAATCTTTATTTTTAAGGGTCTTTGTTCTCTTTGTGTGTGGATGTTTCAGCAGCAGGAATATGATTAACTTATAAAACTAAATTTTAGTTTTATGAGTAAATCATATTCCTGCTGCTGAAACATCAAAGACTCTTAAAAATAAAGGTTCCAAAAGTATTATAATGTTTTATATTATACATATTAGCCTTTCATCAAACTCCTATTTTTTAAACCCTGCAGAAAATGCTATAATATAATCATTAATTATAATGTGTCACATTATTACAAAGGTTTTCAGTTTTACGCACATTTACATGAATTTCACAGACGATTCAAGAGGAAAAATCTTTTAGAAATTATGCAAATGTGAATGTAAATAAAGTGAAACTGGTTCACATTATGTTTCCAAATGCAGTGTGTATATATTATATTATATTATATTATAGCCTTTCAACAACTCACAAACTCCCATTTTGGAAACTATATTGTCAGAAAACAACAACTCTCAAAATAGAAAAAGAAAGTCAAGCATGTTTGATGTTTGGAATAAAGGAGTAAATGAAGCATGACAAACGCGTGACAGAATGATGTTTTGGCTGAACTAAAACACACACACACACACACGGTTGACTCTGAATCTGATCCGATCCTGATAAGACTCTCTGGAATCGCGTGTCAAAACATTCCATGTCGATGCCGGAGCTGATAGAGTAACACCGAACACACACACACACACACACACACACACACATGCTGACAGACCTGATTCCAGCACGAGAACCGTTATAGACATCTGTTATACCTGATATATAAATGTCGTTCTGAAGTTCACAGGCTGCGAACTCAGATTTGGAGTATCCGGGCAGAACGTTGGCCGAGAGCCATTCCCTGGACTCCATGTTCAGCTTCTCCATGAAGGACAGTCTGGAGAACCCGTTCTTATCACAGCCTCCGATCACGAAGATCATCTCGGCCCAGCCACAGCTCCTGAAACACACAAACACACAGGCATGCGGGCTTATATTCAGTGCTAATGTTGAGTTACCTGAAGGAGAACAAAACCAGCAGAGACTGCGTTTATTTCAGCTTTGTTTTCTGAAAACTGTATAAAGTGCTGAAGCGGCGGGACTCACCGGCCGGGTTGGGAATTGAAAATCCAATTCTGGAATCTAATACTTGAGATCAGGAATCGGATACTTGTTATGATTCCTCATCTATTTTTTTGTGAGCATTTCAATATGATTTTAAACATTCAAGCGCGAGAGACACTAATCACACAACAGAAGACTGAGAAGTTAACACACACTCGCTCTTCGCTGAATAACTTCTGTAACTATATCTGTAATGTATATTTTATATACTGCAGTGCTACTTTACATTTTTATTACAGTTTCTGCACCTGAAAATCTTAAAACACTGTTTATTTCAATCGTATCTTTGTTCAGTTGTGTCTATTTGTTGCGATTGCTAATGTTTTATTTGTCCTTTTTAATAACTAAGTGTTTACTCGTCTTTAATAATGCTTGAAGTGTACATTAGTTCGGCTAGTTGTTCTTCTATGGTTTTTTTAAACCACAGGCAAACGCTCATTGTGTAAGTGTTCTTTAGATGATGATTTCTGCACCTCCCCCCGGACGTATATAATGCTATAATGCACTTTTATGATGGATAAATGGATTTCATTTTTGGGTGAACCAACCCATTTAATGTTGTATGCTTGACAAATCATCAATAAATTACAGTAAAATACAGTAAAAAGAGTAAACGCTGAATAAAGCGATCTGGACTCACCGGCGGGGTCTGGTTCGCTCCGACTGCACCTCCCGCCCGTACGCCCGGTACACGCGTGCCTCCTGAAGCAGCGGACGGACCTCCCGGCACTCCTGCACCAGCTCGTCCGCCTCCAGCGTGCTGGCGAGGAACCCGGGATCCAGGAGCGGCAGACGCAGCGTCTCCAACAGCTCCCGGAGCGCTCCGGTCCTCTGGTCCGGCCGGTGGTGGACCCATCGGAGCGCAGCCGTCACCCGAACCTCCTCGCTCACCAGCATCCGCTCGCATCCCAGCAGCTCCAGCACTCGCTCCCGGCCTAGATCCAGGAACTCCTCGTGCCGGAGCACCTGCTGGAAGTCCCGGTACAGGAGCGACTGGCACTGATCCTGCAGCGGCTGCAGGGAGTACGAGCCGGCGAAGCTCATGAGGCCGAGGCAGTTCGAGTGGCAGACGCGCTCCTGGAGGAACTGCACGCAGGCTCGGGAAAGCTCGGACACTTGCAGCTGGTCGGCGGCCTGGAAGTACGTGCAACAATAGTCAAGTCAAGCCTTCATTTATACAGCACTCTAACAACACAGATGTTCCACAGCAGCTTTACAGTGATAACAGGAGATTACAGTAACAGAGAGTTTTTAGGCTTTACAGCAGATCTAGAATAAAGTTATTGTCCAGATAAAGTTAGTTTTAATTGATTCACTTCCATTGTAAAGATCATTAGTGATTAACTTAGCGGCCGCTAACACGACACAGAAAACACTTAATGCGCTCCGGCCTGTTCATTCGCACGAGAACAGTGTTAGGTTCCAAGGTGCAAGCGGTGAAATTTTTTAAAAACGTTATCATCTCCGCGCAAACTTAAAAGTCGCTAATCTGGGAAAACACTGACGGCGGGCACATGCGCACGTGTTCAGTCCATAGGCATACGCCAGATTAACGTTACAAAGATTAACAAATGTTCATGTTTATATTTTGGCTGCATTTGTGAGTTAATAAAAATGTAACTGGTTGTGTAAACTTGGCACTTAATATCTAAATATCGATAAGTCAATCGATATAGCCCTGAATCGAATCGTAATCATATCACAGAATTTTTTGAGGTATCTGCAAATATCGTATCGCTGGCTGAGAGAATCGATATCGTATGGTGTCCGATTTACACCCCTACCTGGAACACGCTCTCCACGTTCTCCTCGTCCAGCGTGAGCCGGCCCTCGTACATGAAGTCCAGCAGCTGATCCATGGCCTTCCCGGAGATCCCCTTGAGCGTGACCACGGCCTGCCGGCTCTCCCGGAAGCCGCTGCTGAGCATCGAGCGGAAGAACTCGCTGCTAGCGCAGAGGGATGCGCGGTGACACGGGAACTCACATCCGTCCACCTGCAGAACCACGTCTGTGAAGGTGCCGCTCCGTCTGTATCCGTTCAGAACCTGCAGGATGTGCGCGGCGTGACACGAGCCCGAGCAGAAGCCGACCTTTGACCTGCTGTCCATCAGCTCGCCGTTGCTGTCGAAGCCCATTCTGAGGAACCAACAGTTGCTGTGTTAGTCTATACTAGGGATTCACTGATATGAAAACTTTGGCTGACACGATAACCGATAATTCTTTACATTTGAAAGCCGATAACCGATAATTCTTTATATTTGAAAGCCGATAACCGATAATTCTTTATATTTGAAAGCCGATAACCGATAATTCTTTATATTTGAAAGCCGATAACCGATAGTTCTTTATATTTGAAAGCCGATAACCGATAGTTCTTTATATTTAAAAGCCGATAACCGATAATTCTTTATATTTGAAAGCCGATAACCGATAATTCTTTACATTTGAAAGCCGATAACCGATAATTCTTTATATTTGAAAGCCGATAACCGATAATTCTTTATATTTGAAAGGCGATAACCGATCATTCTTTATATTTGAAAGCCGATAACCGATAGTTCTTTATATTTGAAAGCCGATAACCGCTAATTCTTTATATTTGAAAGCCGATAACCGATAGTTCTTTATATTTGAAAGCCGATAACCGATAATTCTTTATATTTGAAAGCCGATAACCGATAATTCTTTACATTTGAAAGCCGATAACCGATAATTCTTTATATTTGAAAGCCGATAACCGATAATTCTTTATATTTGAAAGGCGATAACCGATCATTCTTTATATTTGAAAGCCGATAACCGATAATTCTTTATATTTGAAAGCCGATAACCGCTAATTCTTTATATTTGAAAGCCGATAACCGATAATTCTTTATATTTGAAAGCCGATAACCGATAATTCTTTACATTTGAAAGCCGTTAACCGATAATTCTTTATATTTGAAAGCGGATAACCAGTAATTCTTTATATTTAAAAGCCGATAACCGATAATTCTTTATATTTGAAAGGCGATAACCGATCATTCTTTACATTTGAAAGCCGATAACCGATAATTCTTTACATTTGAAAGCCGATAACCGATAATTCTTTACATTTGAAAGCCGATAACCGATAATTCTTTACATTGGAAAGCCAATAACCGATAATTCTTTACATTTGAAAGCCGATAACCGATAATTCTTTATATTTGAAAGCCGATAACCGATAATTCTTTATATTTAAAAGCCGATAACTCTTTATATTTGAAAGCCGATAACCAATGATTCTTTACATTTGAAAGCCGATAACCGATAATTCTTTACATTTGAAAGCCGATAACCGATAATTCTTTACATTGGAAAGCCAATAACCGATAATTCTTTACATTTGAAAGCCGATAACCGATAATTCTTTATATTTGAAAGCCGATAACCGATAATTCTTTATATTTAAAAGCCGATAACTCTTTATATTTGAAAGCCGATAACCAATGATTCTTTACATTTGAAAGCCGATAACCGATAATTCTTTATATTTGAAACCTGATAACCGATAATTCTTTATATTTGAAAGCCGATAACTGATATATTGGCCGATAAATCTGAATCCAAAGTTTTATATAATTTTTGAGAGCCTGATTACAAAAGTATCACCATTAAAAGCCACGTCCAAAACACACAATTATGATGTTCTGAATATAATGTTATGTAGCCGATATGACAGGCTTGCGCTGCACATGTTGCACTGAACTGCATTTTCCTTTTTTGAAGTGATTTCAATCATATTTCAAGCAATTCATAATCATCATGTTGAACAGTCGCATCTGAAGAGTCTCAGCTGAAGGATATAATACATTATTTATCGGCTTTAATATATCGAACAAATTCCCTTATCAGAACGATAACATTAAAAATGAACACATATCGGCCGATACTGATATGGTGACCGATATATCGTGCATCGCTAGTCTTTACATTTGATTAGAGTTTTAGTCAATGATTTCCCTCCTCAGTGTTTCTGTCTTTATATTTCACAGATATCTAAACATTCTTAAATCAAGACACATTTACTGCACTGATAAAAATGATTCTGTAAATACTACAGAAAAAACACGCGTAATTTGTACATGAAAAAGTTAGTTGAGGCAAGAATTCTATATTTTATATTAGTACTCAATTTGTAAATATCAACGCTATAAAATTAAGTAAAACCTACTCATCTTGCACTGGGGCTTGAATAATGAATGATTTGTGGCTGTTTAACAGCTGTATTTACACTGTTTTATCACTGCTTTTGTTGTTAGGGTTAGTAACTTGACATATGGAGTTCATTCTCTACTCCAAAATGATCCATCGGATGTGACCTTCAATGTGTTTTGTATAAATATTGAGTTTACTGGGCAAGTTAAAGTTACTTATTTTCTTTGTTAATTTTTATTTAACTTAGTTAAGTAGAGTTTACTTGAAATTATGTAAAAAATCTGTGTGCAAAAACTTGTGAAAGAAAAAGTGAAGTAAAATTGACTCGTTTTTCCAGTGTGGAGAAACAAAATGAGTGAAGATATTAAGTCTTGTTTACTGAGAAAATATGATCAAAATGACGTGAGTTTATGCTTATATATAATATATCTGTCAGTGGAGTCAGAAAAATAAACTTTCAAAGGGAAAACAATTATTTATTTTTCTGTATTAGTTATTATTTATTATCAATAATTTATTATTAGATGTTGTTTTCAGCACAAACTCGCTTCATTTTAATAATTAAGACTCAATATCTTCAGTAATTTTGCTTCCTCTCCAGTAAATGTGTCTTGATTTAAGAATGTTTAGATGTTAGTGCTGGAACTCGAGACAGAAACACTGAGGAAGAACATCGTTGTTTGCCGTTCATATTATTTGTTATTTCAGTTTACATTTTCTAGTACACTGAAAACATTTTGGTGTTAAAACTGTTTCTAAATTTCACAAACAATCACAAACAAACTGCAATTAACCTGTTAAATTATAGGTGAACTTTTGAAGTAGAAAAACTGAAATAGTATTTTCTTGTAAAACAGTCTAATATAATCTTTGTTTTATTTACAACTTCAAAATATTTTTTAAGTGTATATAAAGTTAAACTAAATGAAAATTAAGTTAAAATGTAATAATATTTTTAATACATTTAATACATAAATAATTTAAATAAAAATAAGTTATTTATAATAAATAAACAGGGTTTTCTTATATTTTATTTTGTTTCAGTTCATGTTTATTTTATTGCAATAACAAAAATGCTTTATATATATATATATATAGTTTTAGTTTTAATGAACTATAATAACCCTGTGTAGTTGACATGCTCATAGTTTAATCAGCTCATATGAATTACAAGAAAACACTGGATAGAAATTATGGGATAGGTGTTTAAAATATTGAAGATTAAAAATGATGAAACAAACACTTTCCCTTAAACACATAAAAAAATCACATTATGCATAAACCAAAAACTGACAGTTATTTACTGGTTTACAGCCAGAGAGACAGAGTTGAGATGATTAGAATAGATATTTCTATGGGAGCTCACCTGTGTGCCTGGATCTCCAGCTTCTTCATCAGTGACCGCAGACTCACCTGAGACAGGCTTATCCCTGTGTGGGCGGGGCTTCAGCAGCTCATCTGCATAAAGGAAACTCATTACAATAGAAACTCATTTCCTGTTCTCTTTAAATCAACTTCCCTTCCCTGTTCTCTAGAATCACGCTTCACTGTAAACAAGCTTTCATGAGGAGATGATAGGTTTGGATAATAACAACACAAATGGAGAATGTTGCATATAACTCTTATAATGTGAACTTTAATAAAAGCAGCCGTGTTTGAGGTTATTGTACATTTATGACACGTAGGCCTATGTATGTATATGTGAGCAGATCTAGTTTCGCTTTTAGATCAGGTTGGTTGGGATTTTTTTACATCATCACCAAACACACACACACACACACACACACACACACGGAAGCTCAAACGCCTTTCTGAAGCTGGAAATGATCCAATATGTTTTCTGATATTAACCCTCTGGGGACCAGAAACGCGCCCGCGCGTTTTGCCGTTTTTTTTTCACATAGCAGAAAAATAGACTTAAAATACTCTGTTGATTTTGATCGTACATATAAGTGTTATACATCAATCGATCCTGTTAATTGTCTATTATTTTTCTGTATACTCACAATAAAAACAAAGTTTTGTGCTTTTTGTCAAATAAAGAAAAATAAACATGATGCGAGTTTTGCCTTCTCTCTGTCAGTGCAGTCCATTCTGAAACACGTCCGAAAAATTAACTCTAACTCTGCAAATACTTGTCATACAGGCACGAGAGGTTTTTCTTTATGAAGCTTGAATTCTCTTCTTTTTAATGATGTAATTTATATAAAAAACAAATATTCTCAGTTTATGTAATCTGTATGAAAAGAGAGTGCTGTCAGATTTTTTTTCCCCAGCTCATTACACTTCATTACGCGTTAATCTGACACGCCCACGGAGGACGCGCGCTATTCAAACGCAAATGTCGAGGCAAGCCATGACAATGCCCACATCAGCCGTTCCACCGCGGCGGTAAAATGTGGGGTGTATTTGCTGCCTTTTACCGCCAAGAGGCGCTACAATCATAGACTCTGAAAAGTGTTTGTTTATTCTCTCTAATGCGTAATCTGCTGCCGCACCGCACTGATTCAGAGCGTTTGAAAGCTGGTAGCAGATGAATTCAACAAGTGAAACGTAGTTAAAATAATTCATAATCACAATACTGAAATTAGGCTACTGAAATGAAATTGAATAAATAATGAAAAAGTAAAACATTGCAATAAAAACAGTCACAGACGTATAGACGATAGCTCAGTGGTTAACGCAACAACACGAGCTTCGAGGAGCTTCAATCGACTCGGATCGAATCTCAATGTAGCATACATGTTGTTAACCGATGTTGCCCTACAGCGTTTATGTTTAACCTTCTTGATGCTTAAATAGCTAACTGTTTATAACTGTTTACTTATTTAAAGTCAAGAGTTTTGTTTAATTATTATTACAACATAAATTTGCTACATTCCTGGAACCGCAGCCGCTGCACAAAGGACAAAAACTGATGAAGGAAGATTGTCAGCCGATTGCATCAGAAAATGAAAATGAAGAAGCACGTCTTTAGT